AGGCAGGCAGGCAGGCAGGCAGGCAGGCAGGCAGGCAGGCAGGCAGGCAGGCAGGGAGGCAGGTAGGGAGGTAGGGAGGTAGCCTGCCGGCAGGCAGGGAGGCAGGGAGGCAGGGAGGCAGGGAGGCAGGGAGATAGATGAGATGGAGATTGAGATGAGATGGAGGATGAGATGAGATGAGATGAGATGAGATGAGATGAGATGAGATGAGATGAGATGAGATGGAGATGGAGACGGAGACGGAGATAGAGATGGAGATGGGATGAGATGAGATGAGATGAGATGGAGATGAGATGGAGATGAGATGGAGATGAGATGAGATGAGATGAGAGAGACAGAGAAAGAGAGAGTGGAGGAAGAAGCTTACCTGATACCTGCTGATTGCGTTGCAGGTGATGTTGGAGACATTGCACTCCAGGAGGCCGACATTGCTATATCTGGCGTTACTATTGTGCTACGCAACCTCACGCCCTGCGCAGCGTTCCATACCCATAGGGCGAACGCTGATCAGAGGTGTGGTGGGGGGGGAGCGTGGACGATAATTTTTGGCAAGGGGGTGCAATCCCAGGGAAAACTGGAATTTCCCGTGTCAGTTCAGGGGTTATCCTTACAACGAAGAGTAGTAGTGACAAACAACAGGCCGAAAAGGTCTATCTTTTAAAATTGTCCCCTGCCCAGCGAGGACTTAGATGAAAAGGGCCACAAAATGACAACAGAATTCAGAGGGCTGCCAAAATCAAAATGAATAGGCTCGGTCTCCTTTGGACATTCCGAACAGCGAAAGACTGGAAAGGCCATCTCAATCAGTTCGAATCCTTGCTATTGGACGGTGCGGGGGGTTGGGAAATGGGAACCCAAAAGCTTTTCGGGAGAGAGCCAGCTGAGCGGATGTGCTTCGGGAAACGGATCGCACCCCGATATCCCAGCACCAACCACCCCCACGAACACGAGTTGCTCAGTTTATACCATTAACAGTTAGACTGTGGGTTTTGCGTTGCTTTCGATTCCAGGCAGTCTTGTGAGTATTTTTTGCCTGCCTCAGTCCAATTTTATTCAGTTTGCTTTGTTGTTGATTTCTGCATATTATATTGGTACCTGAGTTTTGCCACATGGCCTCTCATCTACTGCGCCCGTTCCTGGTGAGATAGGATGGCCCAGATTGGAGGCCCGCCCTGGTTGGTGGCCCGCCCAGTAGTACTCAGGAGAGGGTGGCCTAGAGGAAGGTGAGTTGGGAGAGATCATTTGATTTCACCAGGCTGCCTGATTTGAAGCGGCCCAGTGCTATTGGAGGTAGAGGAGCAGTGTGTGATATGCCAACCTCACACCCCGTGCAGCATCCAGTACCCGTGAGATGCCGATCAGAGTAACTGGGGTGTGGCCGACGATTTTGGGCAGGGGTTGAACCGCCAGCGCGAAACTGGGGTTCTTGCCTCAGTCTCGAGGGTTGTTTCGGAAACTCTGGCGGATGGGGATATGTAATGAAACCTGCAGATTCTCAGTGGACTGTACATTGGGCCGAGGGCGAAGCTTGGGGCTTGCCTCGGTCAGGTCGCGTCTTAGGTTAGATTTTTAATTTTGTTTGGCTGAGGGCTAACCGAGAGACCTGCCTGTAAGGAAATCCGTGAGGGACATATTTGTAAATTCGGGAAAATATAGGCCCGTACTGACAGATTCCCTACAGCTATCCTAACTGCAAATAGCAGGCCCGGGCTACCTCTAGGACAGACAGGCCCTAAGGGCCTAAGCTGATAGACAGTCCTATAGCCTATAGCCGGGTTGAGAGAGGCCCGAGAGGCCGAAACAGAATCGGTACCGGTCGGTCAGTCAGTCCGGTTTAGGTCGAGTCTAGGCTAGTTTAGACTATAGATAGGATGGGCACATCGGTTCAGGGCTTTTGGCAGTTGGTACTGAGTACATCGCTGCTGCGCTACGCGTGAACCGGATGTCGTGACGGCTCAGCGTTGTGGGAGACAGACATAGCCAGACCTTCGGAGCGCCGGCCATAGCTGGGACCTGCGCTGTACTCTGCCAGCACGCGGGGCTGTCAAAGGTCTGGGTTATTGAGGTCCGTTGTAGGCGAGAGAAGTTGGTGCCCTGCTGGACTGTTACATGCCCAGTCGGGCGATGTACACAATAACCTAGGATCCGCAATCTGATGAAAAGGACTGAATGGACAATGCAGTGCAAGTAGAATCTCAACAAGCAATGTGCATTCCGATACATACAAAATGGTGCTCAATAGCGCAGGGAAGACTTAGATACAAGACCTGACTTGACCGAGACTGACCTCTATCACGTAGTACAAGATAGCGAAGCAGAGTGCTAGAATACTAATGACTAGCCCAATCACTGTTTCAACGCAGACCAAACATACATCATGCTTATCACAAGGTGTGAAGGAGCCTGGCGCTATTACACAGGAAGGAAGTGCCAGGTCCAGACATACACAGACGAAGAGGAGGGGATCAGACGAAGGAGAGGGGGAGAGATGGGAGTGTCGTCAACACCAAGTCTTTGTCACAAGTCCCAAATAAACCCTCGTCGAAATGTCTGAAGCCCAAAAGTCGAGTCTGGATCCAATGTCACCAAGCTCTCTCTCTCTCTTTCTCTCGTAGTCTGCTGATGCAGTGAAGTCAGATAATGAGAGGGTGAGAGGGAGATGGTGGACTGAGAAGAGGAAGAAGAAGAGCTCTCTCTCTCTCACGAGCCAGGTACTAACCTGTGAAGTTGGCGCTGTGCTGCAGGTACCTCGAAGACGAAGCTGGAGCAACGGCGTTGCAGGTAGGTACTCCTGGCCTCCGCCCAATCTCTCTCTCTCTCTAGTACTATCCTAGCTATGGCGCCCAGCGCTGAAGACGACAGCTACCTACTGGCGCCCAACGCTGAAGACTAATGCTAACGCTACTACTACTCCTGCAGCGCTCCCTCCAGAGTGCTGTTGCCGAATCCTGAAGACTACTGACTGCCTCCTGCCTGCACGTGAAGTGCCTGGGAAGTACCTAGGAGCGGCCTCCCAACTACCTGCAGCCTG